GGCTCACTGAAATGAAGAGATCTAAACTGTATTCATGGAACCTTCTGGGACCTTCATGTATTCCAACCCACCTTCCTTTTCTCCCCAAGGACAAGGTAATTTGGAGCCTCAGAAAATGCTCTTATAGGCCTCAAAAGACCTGGCATCCTGCTATGCCCCAAGCAGTTCTCCTGACAAATTCTTATTACCAAGGTACAAAAGAGATGCTCAGAGCACAGAATGCCTAACAAAGGCTTCATAGGTGGTTGTAGTGATGGAGATGAGCCACAAGTATAAGTAGGAAAGAACAAATAAAGCTCTCAGGGAATCCCCAGAAGACTCAAAAGGCTTTGAAATGGAGAGGGGTGGGGGGAAGGCACTGTGAAGAAAGAAGGAGCACCAGAGAGAAGCTCTGTTGAACATCTCATCCTTTAAAGTTGCAGAGATAGCAACTTGTGTTCAAGAGAGGAGACAGACTATCCTAAAGCCACACAAAAACCACCCTGTTTCCTCTATTTGGTCCTTGTTACACCTTTCCAGTGCTGCACTTGAGCCAGGAAAAGATGAGCAGAGACCTATTGCTACAGACCTCCCTCAGGGCATTACCTTCTGCTGGCAGACAAGTCCCACTGCACCACTCTGATAAGACACAGGAGTTAACTTATAAACCGCCTTTAACCAATACTCCCATAGTCACCCACTGCTCATGGGCCTAGACATGTGTGTGCACGCACACACGGGCCTACACGGGAAGGGTGGGACAGAAGCAGATCATACACTTGTGGACCATCCTGGGAACGAGATCACCCATAAGGAGGATCTCTCCACACCAGGGGAAGAAGGGAGGGTCACCTGCCTCCCAGCCACACAGCTGGGGAGGTGGAAGAAGGCACAGGGAGCTTTGTCCCTGAATCCCAACTCAATTCATCCTATAGGATATTCAAAAAAATCTGGTCTTTATCCTTGGTTCCTGGCATAGAGCTCCTAAAACCTTTGAAATTTACCGAGTGACAGTAAATTCCAGAGTTATTCCAGAGTTTATGCTGATGAGATGACTCTTGAGGGGTAGAGGAAGGAGAGAAGGCAGCTTTAGATAACTTCAGGATGGGGACAGGTCATCAGAAAGAGTAAGCCATGATCATACAGTTGGAACTTTTAGCCCCATCTGCTGACCCCCAAGAAGAGGAGAGAGGGCTGGAGACTGATTAAGTGACTGGACATCAGTGATTAAACTCAATCATGTATATCAAATTCAACCTCCATAAAAACCCCTGAACAACCAATTTGAGAGCTTCCAATCTGGTCAACACGCAGAAGTTCTAGGAGGGTGGTATGCCCAGAAAGGGCTGGGAGGCTCTGCACCCCTCCCCCTATACCATACCTTGCCCTCTGCTTCTCTTCCATTTGGCTGTTCCTGAGTTGGACCTTTTACAATAAGCCAACAAACCCAAGTGTGTTCCTAAGTTCCCTGAGCTAGGAGTTTTTCTAGGAAATTACTGAAACTGAAGAGGGGGTTGTGGGAATTTCTAATTTATAGCTGGTCATAAATACAAGGTGATATAGGACTTGGAACTAGCACCTTAAGTAGATGCGGTGTCACTGAGACCTTTAACTTAGGGATCTGACACTACTTCCAGGAATGTGTTGTCAGAATTAAACTGCTGGACACGCAGGTGGTATCTGAGGACTAAAGAATCACACAGCCCCTTCCAAGCTGCAAGGGGCCAAAGGCCTCTCAGACAAGTCCACAGAGTCACCCAGATCAGAGTCAGGTGCTCCCTCAGACAGATGTCCAGGGCCTGGAGGAAATCAGACTCCTCTCTTAAATACTTGAAACAGAGTAGTTGGTCTACTATAAATGAGGTTTTTAAAATTCAATTCCCTCCTATTGCTCGTGCAGATCTGAAATGATCTGACCAGATGGCTGGTGCTCTATAATTCTTGGATTGCTCTCATCAGTTGTTGATGATTTGGATTTTTTTTCTTTTCCCTTTTTTTTTTAACCCCCTCACACGAATGTGTTCCTGCATAGGCTTTCTGCATGCTCCCATTAAGTGGGCTCTTTGTGCTGATGCCAATATTTCTGAGGTTCTAACAGCCTCAGAAGTCAATTCAGGTCAATAGGGTGCCCCAGGTTTGAAGTTCCCCGAGCACACATGGGGCCAACAAGCAGCACTGGATGACGGTCAGGACAAGGCTCTTTGCTCAGGCTGCCTTGTCAACCTCCACTTCTCCTTCAGGTCCCAAGAAAAGGAAGGCAACAGAGGTATATTTTTTTAAAATGACAACTATAGCCACTTACAATTTCCTATATGCCAAGTCCTGTGTGAAACATTCTACATATGTTAATCTTGTTTTAGTCTCACATCATCTCTGGGAAGCAGATATTTTCAGATGAGGAAACTAAGGTTCAAAGATTCTCATCAACCTGGCCAAGAACACACAGCTCAAAAAGAGAACTTTCATGGGGTTGAAGGTTCAGCAGCATAAAATTTGACTCACCATTTCACTGAGATCTCAACAATACGGAGAGAAGGCCCTAGCCTTTCCACACCCTCCTTTGTGCTCTCAATGAGCACAGGATACTTCCACCAGAACATCCAAAACACTCTAGTGCCTTTTTCTGTCACTGTATCCTGAGACTATATGCTACTAGAAGGTAGGAATCATGTCTCATTTGCTACTCAAAAAGACAGCATGGCACAGTGGTGAGGAGTTCAGGCTTGGGGCCAGACAAAGCTTGTTTTAAAACTGTGACTCTACAGTTTAAAACTGGTCATTTGACTAAGTCACTTCTAAGACTCAGTTTTGTCTATAAAAGCGAGGGTAGTTATAGCACTGGCACCATCGATACTCAGTAAATGTGACATATTACCTGTATCTCTGGCTACCAGTACAGTGCCTGGCACAAAGCAGAATCTCACAAATGCCCAGGGAGTAGAGACTTCACCACATTTGGCTGTGACTGGCTTTCTGTACACTTGATCTTAGCCAAAAGGCCGAGAAGCAATGACTGGCTTTCTGTAGTAACAAGTACACAGGCACAAAGTCCTAGGTCTCAGGGGTCTTCCACCCCAAGACAAATTTCTGAATTTCCTGCCCAGAACCCATAGGACCTGCCAGCAAACAGCTTTCCTCTGCTTGCTTGTGAACAGCTGATGCTGAATCCACACTCAAATGCTTGCTGTGCCTCCATAAGGTGAGACAGATCCCAAAATAAACCAGAAGACAGAGAGAGACAGGAAAATCACTTCCAGGAACAAGCGGCTCACAGTGAGGATGCTGACAGTAATAACAGAGGTGGGTCGATTTCAGGAGGGTGACCTGCAGCTGCTCCAGGGCTGAAAGTCTGGGGCCCAATTCCCACCTGGCCAGGTGGGAAGGCCCATGAAGTCATAGGTAGGTCCCCTGGTGTTCCAGACCACAGCATGCAGCCTGGAAAGCTACCTTCCTATGAGCCCAGATCATGTATCCCAGGGTGCCCTCCCTGGAGGCCTGAGGACAACAGAGCTGAGGTTCTTCCTTCAGACACATGAGGGGACAAAATTACTGAACTAGGGATAATACCCGTCAACAAAAACTAGCCATTTTCTGAAAAGTCCCCAAAAGATATTCCATCATCCTCCTTGCCACATCCCTGACTCCCGGGCAAAAAAAAACCTGTGCTAACCCTTTCTGCTCCCTCATCAAAATCTCTAGGGGGGTGGGCACTTCAGGGGCACAGAAGTCTCTCCACCTCACCATAAGTGTCCTTCCCCATCAAAGACCAGAGAGGACAGGAAGCCTATACACTCATGCACCCTTACTAGCATCCAATTCCGCAATCAAGTTCAAGGGATAGCACAAATGGAGAATTTACCAATTAAAATCAGAACTGAATGTACTGAGTGATATCTTGATGTCAAGAATCCTCACAACAGGGAGGGCAGGACATTCCCCCAGTGATAGGGGTTTTCCTAAAACTTGCCCCTGGCTCCCTCATCACTTCCTTGGTGCTTCATCACTCTTCGGTGGCATCAGCGACCTGGATGCAAGCCCAGCAGGAGCACCATCGCTACCAGAAAGTTGGCTGGCACAGTGAACGCTGCCCTTGCCGGCACAGAAGCAACGGGGACAGTGAGGGCACAGCGATGAATGCTGGTTCAGAGCGGACCAAACCACAGTGGCAGCTGCCAGGGCTGGCCATCCACCTTGCCATAGCACACCGTGCTAACAGCCCACTCTGGAGAACAGACCCAAGTGTCCCCATAGTGGGGCTACAGTCAGTAAGGTTGGAACGAGAAGGACAGTGGGAAGGAAAGTGGGTCGAGGCTCTGTGGTCAGTGACCTAGGACATGTCAGCTGAATGACACAGGTCAATGAACCTCAGTGTTTTCACAGGAAAAGCCAGAAAATAACAGTTCCTACAGTTGTGAAGATTGAACGAAATTATGCACACTCAGCACCTAACACAGTACCTGAATATGGTGAACTCTCTACAAATGTTCTTTACTTTCTAAGCCATGGGCCCAGGTTCATAAAAGGGCTAGAAAGTTGTTCTTTCTGAGGATGCCCCATTTAGAAACCAGGCCAGGATCAGCCCCTGTTTCTTGGCACAGGTTCCTTTAGCAACAGAACACTCCTGCCCCGCACCGGTGCTCAGGACTCTCCCGTGAACAATATTTCAGCTGCACTGAGCCGAGCAGCAGAGCCTAAAATAGCATTTGCAGAGTGAGGCACACGTCACTGCCTCTCCTGTGTTTCAGAAGCACAAGGAAAGAAAGTTTTCAATCACTTGCTCAGAATGCTCGGCCACCCACCACCTGCCTTCCTTTCATGGCAATAACGTGCCACAATCTCTGCTCTGTTGGAAAACGGAGGTCCCTAAGCCCCGCAGCAGCAGTCGCCACTTGGAAGGACCACACTGTTCCCCTCCAGTGGGCCACAGAGTGACTGCTCTTCCAAACAGCCCTGTGGGGACGAAGGACATGTGCACTTAGAATTCAGAGTGTGTTTCACAGGGAGAGGGCTGGGCTTGGTACCTGGCCGAAGGGCCTGCCACTCATGGGTCGGGTGAAACACCTCGAGGACCTCGGAGTCCAGCTCCTCTTCTGCTGTGGTTTCCTTTCTGTCTGCTTCTTTGGTCCTGCTCTTCTCTGGGCTGGTGAGCGCAAACTCCTTCAGAGAAAGGAAAACACAGGGCATGACCCACCATAGCAAGGTACCAGGTAAACAAAGAACATGGCCTGGGTGGTACACCTTTCTCCTCCGTCCTCCTCTCCTCCCCAGCCTTGTCTGGACCCTTCACAAGGTTAGCCTCATAACAAGAATGAGTGAGGTGATACAGTTACATCAACACAGCAGGTGTTACGTGTATATGAGTAGGGAAAAACTCCATAAAGTTCATTACTATCACTTTTTAAATTTTATTTTATTTACTTATTTGACAGAGAGAGAACGCACACAAGCAGGGAGAAGGAGAAATGGGGCTTGATCCCAGGACCCTGGGGTCATGACCTGAGCCAAAAGCAGATGCTTAACCAAATGAGTCACCCAGGTGCCCCAGTTCATTACTATCTCAAAGGGGTTAAGGGAACAACCTAGGGAGAAGGGTTGGCAGAAGAAGACAGTAAGAGCCTTTTGCTTTTTACTTGCCCTGTTACTATACTGTGTGACATCTGAAACTCTCACCTAATTGCTCTTGCAAATAAAAAAGATGTATTTAAAAGAAGAAATGCACACACGAATGGGAGAATAAGTCCTCAAATGGCCACCCCAGACAGACAAAACCTGCCAGCTGAGGCCCAACTGATAGCGACAAGGCCCAGCAGGGCCTGGCAATTCTCCGGGGTGCCTACAGGGCATAAATGACTCCTTGGGACATAACAACCCAGGGTGAAAGGGCTGCAAGTGGGAAGCTGGGAGTCCAGTGAGGTGAAGGGGGAAGAAGCCAAAGCTGAAAACTAATTCCTAAAACCTGTTTCCTTCCACCCCATGGAGAGCATGGAGGATTAATGAGATGATGTCTGTGGAGCACTTTGAGCAGGAGACAGAGATGCAAGATAAATACCAAGTATTATTCATTTTGCTTCTTCCAGGCCTCCCATTCTTCCTGTCCCATTTTTAAATCTTTCTTGCATAAAAGCAGTAGGGCCTCAGGAAACTGGAACCAGAGGGTTCCAGAGCTCTGGATAGCAAGGAGGAACCCCCACTAGCACACTGGGAGGTTATTTCAGACTTCGCACCTCCAGAGCCTTCCTGTAATAACAGTGAGCATATTTTGTGAATTCCTATGAACCCAAACCTGAGCTAGGACCTTTACACACATCTCATTTCAGTTTCCCAACAAGCCTAACCTTGAATGGGAGGTAGCAATGCATCTCTTCCAAGCAGCAACTCCAGGAGAATCAGAAAGAGGCAACAGGAATGGTGATGATGAAACATGGCAGAAAGCCCTTCAGATAAGTATCCCCACCTACCCAGCACCTAAGAGTTTGACCTTTCAGTAACTGTCAAAGGAAAGAGCAAGGTTTTTAGTTAATGGTGATGATAATGGAAAGCCCCTCCAAAGACTTTTACATTTTAACAAGAAATGAAGGCATGGAATTCAGATGGCAGGAATTCAGATCTTGTTCAGGACCTATAAGGAAGAGATCTTGGACAAGAAGCAGCCCTCAAATCATGTCACAAGTAAAGAGAGGCAAAGACTACAGCACAGTGGTTAAGAACTCAAGCTCCATATCATATACCCAGAAGTTCGAATCCTAGTTTCTTATGATTCCTGGAAATTTACTCAATTTTCTAAACCTGTTTTCATATTTGTGAAGCAAAAGTAATAGCGACATCTAGCTCATACATGAGACAAGTCACCACCTTGTAAACCACTAGCTCTGGGTATGGGGTAGCCATTACGCTTATCACTTGTAAAGACAACCATAGACTAGAGGTTGGATGAGTCCGTGCGATGACATCCAATAGTGACTACACAATGACATGACTCAGGTCAGGTTTGGGTTGTGGACACCTGAGTTGCCTGGCCCATCAAACCTCTCATATTCCTTCAACATGGAGTTTGCACAGATCTGAGCTCAAAAGAAAACTAGGAGCAAAAGAGCAGCCATGCTTGTGAGACTAAAATAAAGACAGAATGTCAGGAGACACTGGCCAAAAGCCAGATTTCCTAAGAGCAGGCTTTGTGTCCATCTCTTTCACCACAGTAACCCCATGCCCAGCACAGTTCTTAATTTACCATCATCCAAGAACAAAGGAATAAAGGAACAACGCTCTCCCACAGGCAGGTACATGTTCTAGATGCCTTGGAGTGAGGCAAGTCCAAAGTAGCCACACCTGCTAGAACCCAGGGAGTAGCCCCACGTTCTAGAACAAAGACTACCTTGTCCACAAAGTACCCGAAGCCTATAATCCAGGGCCCATCCATGCTGGTCAACCTCTGCCAAAAGCACCATACACTAGACCATGGGCCTAGGGGAATGTTAATAAAATGTACCCCCAAAGTGTGTGGGTCAAATGCCTTAAGGGCCAAGGAGGGCCGGGTGTCCAACAATGGGGAGTGCTTGTGCTGTGAAAACTGGAGTCCTCCTGCCTTGACTAAGGAACACAGCTGCTACTCAGCTGGTCCACCACTGCCATGAAAAAGAGAAGAACAGAAAAACAGATTTTTATCTCAACTCTTCTTATTTTAGAACACTAAGAGGACCAAACTAAACATCTCTAAGCTATAAACTGCAGTTCTTGCTTTAGTCTATTAACCAGGTAACTCCTGGCAGGTATGGCTGTAAGCAAGCAACCAAATTCTCATCTCCAGGAGAATCAGAAAGAGGCAACAGGAATGGTGATGATGAAACATGGCAGAAAGCCCTTCAAACTCTAGGCTGGTCTGTGTTCATTCTCTTGACTAGAGGCTGGGAAAAACCTCTTTTTCTAGATTCCTTTTAAGGTTAATAAAGTAAATTCAGGAAGGAGACTGATGAACCACTAAGCCACATGCCCCAAGCCCTAAAGGAGCTAATAACCCCACCACTGCTCCAAATGTTTTTTGAGCTTCCGCTTGGTGTCACCTCTGAACCAGATTTTAAGCCACACACACACACAAACACACACACACAACCTGCCATTATTTTACAGTACAAATCCGTCTTTAGTGCAGGTGATTCAAATTGGCGCTCCTCTGATCAGCTCACCCTATTCACCAAATCTAACTCTGAGTGACTTTGGACTGTTTGCCCAAATCACATCTGACAAACACTGAGGATGTCAGTCAGTTCAAAAGGGGCATTCCAGAAAAGGTTTTGAGAAAAAGCAGATCACAGGGATGAGGCTGCCATGGTAACAGCAGCTACCATCCGTAGCTCCAGGCTATAAAGTGCCTTCCATGATGCACAACTCATCCAAGTTTCATCTGTGAAGCACACACTTTCATTCCCATTTTACAGATGAGGACAGGTATGGGGCCTGTGCAAAAATCACACTGCTGAGAAAAGCAGAGCAGAGATTTAAGTCAGGCCTGCCTGGCTCCAAAGCCCATGCAGGAATTTTGACTCCCTTCAGTGTTTCTGTTCTTAGTCATGTGTCCTAAAGGCTGTGCCCTAAATGCTGAGGGAATTGGCGGGAAGGGCAGTGAGATCACCTTTGCATATCTACCAGCACATCCCCCGCCTCCCAGGGGAAAGTGAAGACTTCCATGGACCGAGTGAAAAACCACAGTCCCCGAGAAAGGACAAGCAAGACTAGCTTCTCTGTGCTCAGGCAGTGTCCTCAACAGGAGAAAAAGACCAAGAGGTGACAGAAATCACCCAGCCCTTGGTCAACTCTCAAGTAAACCCCATGTCTGGTGCCCTCTCAGTTGGCTTCTTGGGACTATGTTCCACGCTGAAACCTCAGCACTTTCTTTTCCCTGCTACCATCACTCCAAATACCAATTTCTTCTCAACTGACTGGCAAGACATTCCAGCTGAGGTGTTAGCTGACAACAGCTTACCATGTCTCACTTCCTTGCACTTATATCTGAATAAGAGATTCTTAAAGACCAAAGCCTTCATGATCCAGGAGAATGAATGAATCTCTAATGGTAAGCTGACAGACGCTGTGACAGAGACAGACTGCCAGGGCAACATTCTGGGACAGGACCCCTATCTGCCAGAGCCCTACATTAAGTCATAAAAGCAGCCACGCACTTACTAAAAATAATAGCTGATATTTATTGACCATACTCTGCCAATCCCAATGCTAGGTGCTCTGCATATGTAATCACATATCATCTACACTGAAATCTTAACAGAGAGGTATCAAGCCTATTTTCTGGATGAGGAAACAAAGCTCAGAAATGGCCCAACTACCAACATAGGTGGTAAAACGGAACTTCCCAAGGGTCTCTGCTCCTTCCACCGGTTCCACTACCTTCCACATCACTCACTACCTTCTTGAAGTCCAGGATACCACACAACCACACTCCTTCAGCATCCATACCGCTTCTAAACTGTGGCATCCCAGAGAGGTAGGATGATAGAAGCCAGGAGAAGTGGTTGGTTCCACACCATACCCTGATACACACAAACAACCCTTCCTGGGTGGCCATTAACCTGCACAAATGCCCTTGGGGAGGACAATTCCAGGCCACCAGGAGCTCTTGCCTGGACTCCGGGCTCTGAAGAAATGATCATAACCACCCCCTCCTCCCCCACCACCCATTTTCACTGTTGTGATGGTGGCTGGCTGCAGAATTTGGATTTTAAATGCCAACAGGGCAGCAATTTTTATGGTATGAGAGAAAAGATGCTTCAACTCCTACTTGTGCTTAGCACATGATGAAAGATTATGACAAATGGATACAGCTTAGGAACAGACATAAGGATAAAAGTAGCTTCTGTTGATGAAAGTCAGTATTAACATTTTTCTGAGACTAGACTCAATAGAGCTAATATAAATGGGCCAGAATAATTATGGCTCTGAAAGCTCATCTATTTGGTTGGACTATTATCCAAAAGGGACTTACTAACACAGTCCTTAAGCAAATCCATCAGCACGTTTTTGTTAATTGTGCATCTGCTAAAGCTCATGAGGGGGACCACTGGATCCTCATGAGTGGCAGGTTGGGGTGGGGGATTGGGGGGAAGTGGGACACAGGCCGGATCCCTTGAGACACTGGTGTGCTTTTCTGGCCAAGGCTATGACAAGGACAGCCCCTAACTCATGCTGTGACCAGTGCCACCCTCAGGGGCCAAAGGGATCTCATCCTCATTATCCTTGAGGAAAAGGCAAAAAAAAAAAAAAAAAAAAAAAAGGCAGCAGTAAGATCTTAGGTAACATTAAAAGCTCAAAAGAATTCGTGACTCCTAACTGCACTTTCTCTTCTGCTCCACGAAGTAGGGAGAAAGGCAGAGAGAAAACAAATGACTTTAGAGAGAAGGTGGAAGCTTGCCATGAGCCAGAGGTGAACCTCAGCTGAGCTGGATTGTTATTAAATTCATCACAATTGTCATTTGCACTTCAAGGCCCTCCTGCTCCAAAGCCTGCAGCACTTACCCAACATTTAGTAGGAGCTCCTGGGCTTGGGGAAGGTGGCCAGGGGAGGGCAAAACTGTCAGAAAGCGGACAGTCAAGGCTTCTCAGGGGAGAGGAAAGAGGGGGCACTGGGAGCTGGTCAAGGGCAGCCTGTTCCTAGGGCCAGCCAGCGAAACAGGGCCAGAAGCCTTGGCATGCTGCAGCCAGGCCAAGCTCAGAGGCTTCTCGGTCACTCTACTCCTGCCTGTGGCAGTGACAGAAACCCTGAGTAGTCAGGTCTAGGTTAATGAAGAGAGGCCTAGAAAGAATAGGGAGAAAAGGACAGAAGGCTAGAGAACAGAGAAAGAGACAGACAGAGAAAGCACAAGGAAGACAGGAGTAGAGGAAGAAGCAGAGTCTTACTTGGTGCTCACCACACAAGCAACCAGCTCTCTTGGGGAAAATCCTGACCTTCCCAATTCTGCCACAAACTGGTTGAATGATCCTAGCCAAGTTACCTAATGTCTCTGAGCCTTGGGATCCTTCTCAAAATGAGGATAATAACTGTAGTTGTCTACTTCATAGGGTAGTTAAAGGGATTAAGTGAGAATACACATAAAGCACTTAATAAACTGCTTGATACATGATAAACTCATCATCATTATCGATAGTATTGTATCACCATCATCATCATATTTTCTCCAAAGGAAACTATGCTATGAGCTTTAACAGAGGCCAGAGGAGTAGGGTGGGGGGTTGGGGAGAGAAGTACACATACTCCTTGATCCAGTGCTGCCCACATTCCTGCAAGAAAAATAAGCTCACCCTACTCCCACAGAAGCCTTTGTGGCATGGAGGCTTTCCTGGACCTTATAGGATTCTTCTGTTTATGCTAAGATATTTACCGGGTTCTGATGACTGAGGCAGAAGGTGAAACAGGAAGCCATCAGCAGCCCAAGCAGCATTCCCAGAAGAGCCATCCTGGAAGGGGGCAGGCCCTGGGTAGCCATAGTTACAGACCTGAGGAATAAAACAAAAAACAAAAAAAAAAACAGAAGGTCAACAGGAAGCTGGTGCCTGATCCCCTAGCAATGTGATTCCCAAGATGTCACTTGTTCCAAGGATAACATACATTTTCTGCATAGAGTTATCAAAGGTCTTCTACCACAGGATAAGATCTAAAGGAAGCCTCCATCTCCCATAACGAGTTCAGCCACTCATGGACAGACACACCTTAGTTGGAAGCATAGAGCCAAGCAGGACTCTTACAGGAGATACAAAGGTGTGGTTCCTTCCTTCCTCATTATCAACTTGTTGTCAGGTTGTAGAGGGTGGTATTGGCTAGGACAGTGAGAGAAAGAAACTAACCGATTTATTTGTGTGTGAACACACCTGGGCCCAAATTCTCCTAAGCCTTCATAATCATTCACTTCTAAACCATGCTCACTGTTATACCTGAAGAAAGATGCCATCAGTATCCCATCAACCAGCAATTCAATATTCCCAAGCCACAAAGCCTTACACATCGCTTTTCAAATGGCCAAACAATTTTGGGAGGCCAAGGGAAGGCCTGAAGCCCAGGCTCTAGTAGCTACAAAAATTAAAACAAAAGGATAAAAGGGTATCTCATGTTCGTGATTAGAGATTTAATATTGTTAAGATAACAATACTACCCAAAGCAATATGCAGATTCAATGCAATCTCTATCAAAATACCAAAGTGGTTACAGAATAGAGAAATCCATCCTAAAATACATATGGAATCTCAAGGGACCCAGAACAACCAAAAAGATCTTGGGAAAAAAAAGAACAAAGTTGGAAGAGACCTATTTCCTGATTTCAAAACTTACTACAAAGCTACAGTTATATATACAACAGTATGGTACAGCCAATAAGGACAGAACATAAAGACCAATGGAATAGAACTGAGGACCCAGAAATAATCATGTATGGTCAACTTATTTTCAATAAGGGTGACAATACCACTCCATGGGGAAAAAAAGAGTCTCTTCAACAAACAGTTCTGAGACAAGTAAATAGCCACATGCAAAAGATGGGATGGATTATTCCCTTACACCACATACAAAACTTAACTCAAAATGGATCAAAGACTAAATTTAAGAGCTAAACTTTTGGAAGAAAACATATAGAAAATCTTCATAACCTTAGATTTGGCAGTAATTTCTTAAAAAGGATAACAAATAATAACCAGGTTCTGGATAGTAAGTAAATTGAACACCAGTGATATTTAAAAACCTTTATGCCTCAAAAGATTATCGAGACTCCCTGATATGAGGAAGTTGAGAGGCAAAGTGGGGGGGCTTGAGGGGAAGGGAAGGAAAAAATGAAACAAGATGGGATCGGGAGGGAGACAGACCATAAGAGACTCTTAATCTCATAAAACAAACTGAGGGTTGGAGGGGCGGGGTGTAGGGAGACGGTGGTTGGGTTATGGACATTGGGGAAGGTATGTGCTATGGTGAGTGCTGTGAAGTGTGTAAACTGGGCGATTCGCAGACCTGTATCCCTGGGGCTAATAATACATTATATGTTAATAAAAAATTAAAAAATTTTTTAAAAATAAAAATAAATAAATGACATAAAATGTATAAACATTAAAAAAAAGACATTATCAAGAGAGTAAAAAGACAACTAAGAAAAGGGGAGAAAATACTTGCAAATCATCTGATAGGGTTTAATAACCAGAATATATCAACAAGTCCTACAATTCAACAACAACAACAAAAACAACCAAACAAACCAAATTAAAAATAACCAAAGGACTTGAACAGACATTTCTCTAAAGAAGATATACAAATGCCATAGAGACATGAAAATATTTTCAACATCATTAATCATTAAGGAAATGCAAACCAAAACCACATATTTACTACTTCACATCCACTATGGTGGCTGTACTTTTTTAAGATTTTATTTATTTGACACAGAGAGAGATCACAAGTAGGCAGAGAGGCAGGCAGAGAGAGAGAGGGGGAAGTAGGCTCCCCACTGAGCAGAGAGCCTGATGTGGGGCTCGATCCCAGGACCCTGAGATCATGACCTGAGCCGAAGGCAGAGGCCCAACACTGAGCCACCTAGGTGCCCTGTATTTTTTTTTTTTTAAAGGAAAATAATTTATATTAACAAGGATGAAGACAAACTGGAACCCTTATACACTGCTGGTGGGAATGTAAACTGCTGTGGGACAAAGTTTCGTGGTCCCTCAAAAAGTAAAACACAGAATTACCTTATGATCCAGTAATTTCACCCCGAGGTATGTATTCCACCCAACAGATCTGAAAACAGTGACTCGGATACTTCCAAGTGAATGTTCACAGCAGCATTATTCACAATAGCCCAAAGGTGGAAACAACCCCAATATCCATCAACAGATGCAGTTTTTTAAATATTGTATATACACACTTATGGAATATTATTCAGTCATAAGAAGAATGAAATTCTGATACATGCCTCAACATGAATCAAACTTGAAAAAAAATTATATGCCAAGTGAAGTAAGTTAGACACAAAAGAAATTGTTATGAATCTACTTAAATGAATTCTCTTCAACACGCAAATTCAGAGAGACAGAAAGTAGATTAGAGGTTACCAGGGGAGTTACTGCTTAATGGGTTTCTCGGTGAAACAATTTTGGTCAGTATACTAGAGTGGCAGTCAAGAGAACTTAATCCAAATTGCTGAATCACTATATATACTATATACCCGAAGCTAATATTACTGTATATTCACTAACTGGAATTTAAATAAAACATGAAAAAAATGAAGAGAAACCCATGTACTTTAAAAAAATTGGCAAATAATCTAGGAAAGAAGGGCAAAAAGAAAAAAATAAAACAAGCTAAAATTTTTTTTTTTTTTTAAAGATTTTATTTATTTATTTGACAGAGAGATCACAAGTAGATGGAGAGGCAGGCAGAGAGAGAGAGAGAGAGAGGGAAGCAGGCTCCTTGCTGAGCAGAGAGGCCGATGCGGGACTCGATCCCAGGACCCTGAGATCATGACCTGAGCCGAAGGCAGCAGCTTAACCCACTGAGCCACTCAGGCGCCCACAAGCTAAAATTTTTTAAGAAGCCTTAGAAAAAGTCAGAACATGTCAGCATTAGTCCAGACCCTTATAAAAGGTTTGCATGTTGGTCACTCAGCCCTAATACACCTTATTAGGCTGTTCACTCAACAGAGGCTTAACTGTGTTCATTATAGGGGAACATCTCTGATGAGTATGGTGTTTACCTTTTCTCCTTGCTATTCCTGCCATACTCTGCATTCCACCTCAGGAAATTGGTCCTATAACAGGACTGCAGTGGGACCCAAAGTCCTGTCTGAACCCATTCTCAGCAGTTATTACCCCTTGCTCAGCCCACACCTTCTCAGCCACCGACGGAAACTTTCCCTAAGGACATCTGGAGCCGTAAAGGAAAACAGCCCTGCTGGACTGGCACTGTGCTAAAAAAGCATAGCCAAATGGAAAAGCAAAGGCTTGGGCACTAAAAATAGCTGCTACACTCACCCAGCAGCAAAAGCCTTTGCTTTCTGCCAGCTTCTCCCCTCTTTTTTCGTCGACAAAATGGAACGGCGGAGTACCACATGAGCTTTCCCCAGCAACCTGGTTCCCTGGGGCACCAATCACACTGAAAGACAGGGAGTGAGTTCACAACACAGCATTAGGTTCTGGATAGGTACCTGACCGTGCCTGGGTTGGGGTAGACCCCTTGGGTGGGGGGCGCAGCCTGGGTGAGGATGAACAAGGAGCAGAGGCTTCCACATCAGGACTGAAAAGGCTGGAAAGGCCCAGGGAGATGGGTCCTGAGAACACACAATATTCCCTAGAGATTCCTCTATGCCCCATACCTTTCTTAATCCACAGGGTTGCCTGTGGGGAAAAGGAGAATCAAAAACGGGAACGGGGTGCATTGCTGGGAAATATGCCATAAGAGAAAACAAAGACTATCCCCAAAGCCACAGATTTCCCTCCCTGCATGAAGAGTAGTGTTCATCTGTACATGAATGGACACACACACAGTTAAACACTCCCTTCTCACAGCCAGGGATAAATACTGGAATTGATGTTGGGGGAAAAGATGAAGAGGAAGAGATAAAAGAGAATGAATTAGTCAAGGGCAAAGAAGACAAATGAGCAGCAGGAAGAAATACAGAAGAGACTAAGGCAAAAGAGGTTGGGGGCAGCTGATACACACACAGCAGCTTCCCTACCTCCTGGAGTCGGGGGGGGGGGGGGGGGGGGGGGGGGGCAGCAAGAGAAATGGCAGCTCCCACAGGGCTCCCAGCCGCCCCCGTCTCCTGCACACATACTAACGCCCTCAGATGCATTTTATGCCAATACTAAGGATGAGCAATCGATTTGCAAATAGATCCTTCATCCCCCCCATCCACAAGGACTGCACACCTGACCTATTTATTGCCTCCATATATTTCTCCCTGAAACACAGGGAGAGAGAGAACATGTTGCAGGGAGGAGGTGCCAGGAGACAGAGCTAGGAGAAGTGAGGCTAGGAGAAAGGAATGAGACAGCTTCCCAGGCTTTGCAGGGATACCCTAAGAGCAAGTGCAACACAGAGACATGGGGAATGGTGTCCTGCATCCTGCTGAGGCCTGGCCTGTGCCATGTCAACCTGGGCTTGGGCCTTATTCAAGTAGCAGCAGGTGAAGAACATGCAGGCACAGTTTTCTCTGGGCTTTATGCTCAGAGTGCAGAGGGGTGGAGTGTGGGTGGAAAGAAGGAAAGAGGAAGTGGCACACAGCTATGTTTTACCAGGACAGCTCACAACACAACCAGGGACTTAGGCAGCAACAGCAACAGCAAGAGAACACCTCAGTACACTGATGTAAGTAAAGCCAAAGTCATGGCGCCCCTTTGAGGCATAGCTGGCACACCTAGCCTGCAGTTAGTGCCCTTTCCAAACCTTCCCAAAACCCACTAACCCTGGATTTGCCTGATCACCTATTCCTGCACATACTGTAAAACAAATCTTCCCATCATCC